ACAGAAAAATAGACAGAAGATAATTACCAATTCAAACATTATTGATGTCCAATATTATATATCAAGTCAAAATAAAAGCTTAATTATATCTTTCAATTCTTAGTACCAAGAAAAAATTCAAGCATTCCTTATCATCATCATTAACAGTTCCAAAATGATTTTCATTCAAAAAGAGATCAAAGTCAATATCAGTGTCTTTATCAGAATCGATGGCTTGCTTACCTACACACGAAAAAGAAGATAATGGTAAAGCACATACCATGAAATCTAATTATATTTGTTTATACCCAAAATGAACAGCCAATGAATATCGGACACGTGGACCAAACCAGAGCTATGGGTGCCTTCGGCACCCACCTTCGGTATCATCCCTACCGATCGCACCATTAGGGCAACCTCACCCCCTTCGACACGTGGTAGTCCCACAATTGATGCCCACAGTCCCACATCGAAACTCTAAACAAATTGCACACCTCCCAAGGCCTATAAAAGAGGACAACCATCCCAGCTTGGAGGTAATGAATCAGAACTCAAGGCATACTGCCTATTGATCTGTAGTTCAAACTTACCAAATCCGTACCTATTTAAGTATCGGAGAGCCTTCGGCCGGTACCACACCGGTGCCCTAGGACTTACCGAGCGTTTACTATCTTACAGGTATAACGCCCTACCGGAGCCATAGTATACCGAAGGAAAAACAAATCACTAAGTTGCGCGGGAAAGTGCGGAACCATTTTTCTGCGTCAACAGTTTGACTCCGTCTGTGGGAAATCGATAACAATCAACCTACAATTCCTTAAAAAGATATGGGAACTACTTCAGGACCACAGTTCCTATCGGAGGAGGGATTACCGTACGGTATGCCAAGTGGAGCAAGCCCGGCGCTGCACCCTAGCACCCCCTTCGGTAATCCTCCAGTGCTTCAGACCACGGTCGAAGTAGAGCTTCTGGCTCAAATAACTTCCCTTCGGAGGGAAATGGCTAAACTCCAAGAACATAACAATCTCCTCTCGTCCAAAGTGGACGAAACCCAGCGGTTGCTCAACCAACAGGAAACACAGAGCATTCAGGCAACCGAGTCTTCCCAAAGTCTGCAGACCCCCGGTCGGCAGAAGAGGGGAAAGAGGGGGGCAAAGGCAATGCCTGCGCCTTTCAAACAGTTGGTGGTCCCAGCTCCACAGGACCAGCCTCACGTGCCGAAGAAGGTGTACACCGATTGTCGTCATCGGATCAACGACAAGAAGGATGCCGAACGGCATAGGTCCCCAATCAGGGTTAACGCCCGCCTGTGGGACTCGCGGATGAAGGTCCTGGGAGATAAATCGCCCCTTAGGAAGGTCCAGGGTTTGGATTCGGGGTTGGAATCTGACGATGAGTACGTCCCCACCAAGGGCACTGAATCAAACTACAATTCGGAAACTCCCCCAGAGTATTCGAGGGCAAGACCACCAAGGCCGAGGAGAACTTCCGAAGACTTCAGTTCCGAGGAGGTCCCAAGCCGAGACCCCGCTATCTGTCTGCTTTTCTAGAGAATCCAGAAGATGGAAGATGACCGAACTCGATCCCAGGTTCCTGACTGGGGAAAACTTCAGCCAGGACCATTTACCAAGCGCATCAAAAAGTCCAGACAGGACAGGGAGGTGCAGCCGTTGCGCATACCATTTTATACCGGCGTGGAGGACCCTTTGACGCACCTTCACTCATTTCAATCGGCAGTTGGATGCAAGGGCCTCAGCGACGAGGGGCAATGCCTGCTGTTCCCATCATCCCTTACCGAAGCCGCTCTGAACTGGTTCTACCACCTTGAGCCAGGGACGGTAGACTCCTTTGACGAACTGAAGCAGATTTTCCTCAATCACTTCATGATCCAGACAGACCGCTTGTACTCTGCCGATGATCTGTACACGATTCGGCAGAGAGAAGACGAACCCCTACGGGAGTATGCTGCTCGCTTCAGTCATGAATACTCGAGGTGTCCAGAAACGAACGATAAGGTAGCCTACGGCGCCTTCAAGAGTGGCCTTCGGTCCTCTCACTTTCGGTATCTCATGCATAGTAGTAACTGGCACACATATGACGAGTTGATAAAGCAGGCGGCAGTTCATGCGAAGGCCGAATATTTCAACTCCAAACTCGGGCCTTTTGCCCGGAAGGAGGAGTCGGCAACTAAGAGTTATCCAGGGTGAACTGACGATTCTTCGGCAGGACACAAACGGAAGGACGACCGTGATAGTCATCAGGGAAACTCGAAGAAAGGGCGCGGGAAATACGGTCGTAACGACCACCGTGTGCCGCTACCGAATCACGATCGTGCCCAGGAAGTCTTCACCCTGTTGAACACTACATACGAGACCGTTCTGATGAACGAGCATGACCAAATCTCGAAGCCAACCAACTGAAAGCCCAATCGGCAAGATAATCGGGACACTGACAAATTCTGTCGATACCACCAGCAGAACAGCCACAACACCGAAGACTGCATTAGTCTGAGGAAGATCGTTGAGTGTCTGATTCGGGAAGGAAAGCTGGATCAGTACATCGCCAGGACACCACAAGCACCAGCACTGAATGCGAATCGGCAGATCAACATGATCAGCACGATCAGCGGAGGCCCCACTCTGGCGGGACCCTCTAATCGTTCAATGAAACAGTATGTGCGTGCCACTCACTACCCTTAGGTATTCGGCATAGAAGACGATCGGTGCTGCAAGGTCCCGAAGGTGGGGTGGGAACCCATCACATTCTGTGAAGAAGAAGAGGAAAGGATCGTTTACCCCGACGATGACCCAATGATCATTCGGGCCGAGATCGCCGACTACGATGTGGGTCAGGTGCTGATTGATACCGGGAGTTCGGTGAACGTAATTTTTGCCGATGCGTTCAAAGGATTGAGAATTGCCGACATCATGGTCAATCGGCAAATAATGCCCCTTCTCAGTTTTTCTGGGGATCTAGTATAACCAGTCGGCAGTATCAGTCTGCCCATCGCCTTCGGCATCGCCCCCAGGAAAACAACGCTCAGACTTCACCTCCATCCTTTTTTATATCAATAGGGAGCTCATCCATCCTTCCTGCCATAAGCGGATGATCTCCTAGCGCGAAAACCATGACCTACGACCAATTCCTCATTGTCGACTGCCCAACGGCATACAACGTCATCGTAGGGCGAACGACACTCACCAGGGTCAAAGCCCACTTATCCCCTCACATGTTGCTGATGAAGTTCCCTACATGCAGTGGCACGGGCGTCATCCCGGGTGACCAGCTCAGTGCCCGGACGTGCTACGCCATAGCCCTTAAATCGGTAGCTTGCAAGCTGCCAATGGAACCCATGACCGTGCAGGGACTACCGAATGGTAGCGGGCCCATTGATGACCCCAGGGAGGAAACGCCAACGCCAGTGGCGCAGCCTGCCGAAGAGCTCGAAACCGTGGTCCTAAACGATAAATTTCCCGATCGGTGGGTAAAAATCGGTACCAACCTAGATCCCGACCTCCGAAGACTGTTCATCGACTTCTTACGGTAATAGGTGGAGGTCTTCGCCTGGTCTTATGACGATATGCCCGGCATATCACCTGACGTCATCAGCCATAAGCTCAGCATCTCCACCGCCCACAAACCGGTCAGACAGAAGCGCCGCTCATATGATGCTGAACGGTACGAGGCGATGCGTGCCAAAGTTGACAAGCTCAAAGCTATCGGCTTTATCAGGGAAGCTACGTACCCTGTGTGGCTTGCCAACTCAGTCATGGTTCGGAAGGCCAAAGGAGGATGGCGGATGTGTCAGGACTATACCGACCTGAATAAGGCTTGAACGAAGGACAGTTTCCCCTTACTGAGAATCGACCAACTCGTCGACGCCACCGTCGGACACGAGCTGCTCAGCTTCATGGATGCTTATTCAGGATACAACCAGATCTTCATGGACCCTGCTGATAGAGAGCATAAAGCGTTCATCTCCGACCGCGGTTTGTACTGTTACAACGTCATGCCCTTCGGCCTGAAGAACGCAGGAGCAACTTATCAACAGCTCGTCAACCGAATTTTTGCTAAGCACATCGGCAGCATTATGGAAGTATATGTCGACGACATGCTGGTGAAAAGCCGAACGGCAGGGGGGCATCTGGAAAACCTAGCCCTCATGTTCGGTATACTAAAGGACTACCGAATGAGGCTGAACCTAACGAAGTGCGCCTTCAGTGTGTTTTCCGGTAAATTTCTCGGATTCATGATCAGCCAAAGGGGAATCGAGGCTAATCCCAAGAAAATCAAAGCCATAATCGACATGAAAACACCGAGGACGTAGAAGGACATCCAAAGCCTTACCGGACGTGTCGCTGCCCTGACACGCTTCATCTCCAAGGCTACCGACAAGTGCGTGCCGTTCTTCAAAGCTTTGAAAGGGGGCAAACATCATATCGCATGGAATCCCGAATGCGACCAGGCATTTCAAAACTTGAAGAACTACATGAGCCAGGCACCGCTATTATCAAAACCGCTCCTAGGAGAAGTCCTCCTCCTATACCTCTCGGTATCCAACACTGCCGTCAGCTCAGTATTGATACGGAAGCCGGAGAAGGCAGAGCTACCGATTTTCTATGTCAGCAAGGCCCTCCAGAGCGCAGAGCTTCGGTACCCACCCTTAGAGCAGCTAGCACTGGCCCTGGTTGTCTCGGTGCGAAGGCTTCGCCCATACTTCCAGGTGCACGAGACCACTGTTCTGACAAACCAGCCCCTTCGGCAGGTACTCCAAAAGCCAGAAACGTCGGGCCGATTGGTCAAATGGGCAATCGAGTTGGGAGAATTTAACATACAGTTCAAGCCAAGGCCTGTAGAAAAAGGTCAAGCCGTTGCCGACTTCATCTCCGAGCTCACACCTCCTGCACTATCGAAAGCATCATGTCCGAACGATACCCTTACTGCACCGGAGAAAATGGATGCCGAGTGCTTTGACACTTCCGTCCCTCTCTGGATTCTGCACGTAGATGGCTCGGCAAACTAGCAAGGCTGTGGTGCCGGCTTAGTGTTAACCACTCCGGACGGCGGCAAAGTCGAACATGCCCTCCGATTCATCTTCCGGACCTCTAATAACGAGGCATAATATGAGGCTCTCTTCGTCGGCCTTCGGCTAGCCAAGAGCATGAGCGCGAAGCAGATCAGCATTCACAGTGACTCTCAGCTCATCGTGAATCAGACAACGGCAGACTTCGCAGCCAAGGATGCCTCTATGTCAGCTTATCTATCGGCAGCTCACCAACTACTGTAAAAATTTCAGGCCTACGAGATACGGCAGATCCCGAGGTCAGAAAACAGCCACGCCGATGCGCTCTCGCGTTTAGCTTCGGCAATAAATGACAAGATCGGAAGGAAGGTACCGGTGGAGATATTATCCCAACCAAGCACGACAATTGCTGAGGATGTCTCCCATCTTTGCTTTCCTGACAAACGGAATCCTTCTGACCGATAAGTCCCAGGCTCGGAAGCTCCGATACCGATCGGCAAGGTACACGGTCATCGATGATGTTCTGTACAAGCGAGACTACACCACGCCGTATCTAAAATGCCTAACCAAAGAGCAGGGGGACTACATCCTTCGGGAGGTCCACGACGGAGTCTGCGGTGACCATTCAGGATCCCGATCGCTCGCATACAAAGTCTTCCGACAGGGATATTTCTGGCCGACTCTGCACCAAGATGGGAACTAACATAACATGTTAGTCAAAAAGTGTGACAAATGCCAACGGTTCGGTAGCGTCCCTCATGTTCCTGCCGAGCCACTCCCAATGGCCATTCGCCCGTGGCCATTCGCCCAATGGGGGTTAGATCTAATTGGTCCAATGCCAGAAGGCAAGGGTCAGGTCAAATACGCTGTGGTTGCCGTGGACTACTTCACCAAATGGGTAGAAGCCAAAGCCTTAGCAACAATAACGGCAGCCAGAATTGAAGATTTCTTATGGACGAACATTTGTTGCCGATTCGGCATCCCCTACGCCGTCGTCACGGATAACGGCAGGTAGTTTGATTCGGAAGTCTTCAGAGAGTTTTGCATCCGACTCAAGATCAACCTGTTCTTTGCTTCGCCGACTCACCCCCAATCAAACGGCCAAGTCGAAGCAATGAATAAAATTGTCAAGAAGCTATTGAAACGACAGCTTCTCAAAGCCAAAGGAGCCTGGCCGAAGAAGCTTCCAGAGGCGTTGTGGGCCATCCGGACATCCTACCGAATGACAACAGGGGAAACACCGTTCTCCATGGCTTTCGGCTCGGAAGCAGTAGTCCCAGTGGAAATCGGAGAGCCTTCCTACCGAACGAAAGCTTTCAAACCGAAAACGAATGATGAGGCGCTCGCCTTGAGCCTGGATTTGCTCGAAGAACGTCGAGCACAAGCCAACCTTCAGAACGAAGCTTACAAGCAGCGCGTCTCTCGGTACTATGACTCCAGGGTAAGATCCCGCTCTTTTCGAATCGGAGATTGGGTCATGCGAAAAGTCTCTCTGGCAACTAAGAATCCTACGGAAGGAACCCTCGGAGCTTCCTGGGAAGGACCCTACGAAATCATCGGTATCCAGCGATTGAGGACTTATCGCTCAGAGACTGCAACGGAAAGGTCCTCGGTCATCCTTAGAATGTAGAGCATTTGAAATATTATTTTAAATGAAGTCACCTAGCCTACGGCAGGGTTAGAATAGAGTCCGGAAAGCCTTCGGCATTTTTATATCCCCTAGCCTACGGCAGATTTTTAATTATAAAACGCACTCCAGATGTATCTTTGGCTTCGACAATTCATCAATGAAAGGGCCTTCGGCTCATATATTCAAAATCTATGGTGTACCTTTTGAGCTCTTTTCATTTAAAACGATAAGGTAGAGACCATCGGTCGCAGTAAACTACGCAGTTTGGCATCGCTATTAGCCTACCGACTGAAGGACAACTTGAAAGGATCATCTTAATTACCCACTGACCCAAGGGTTTGTGCATTTATTAGCCTTCGGCACTTAAAGCCGTTACTTAGCCTTCGGCAAGTACGTCTGTTCTCAAATTCCTACTAGTTGAAATTTTGCTTGGAAGATAACTTTATTGGCCAACGGCTAGTGAACTTTTTACCTAGCCCTCGGCATTTGAAAAGAAATTTTCCTAAGCGTCTTACCGATTGAAAATTAACTTATAAAACTACTTGGACCCTCAAGTTTGAAAATAAAAATAGCTTCAATTAAAAGATGCCCACGGCATCAAGATACAATCAAAAGATGCCCACGGCATCAAAGGTTCAATCAAAAGATGCTCACGGCATCAAGGTTACATCAAAATTACATTAAAGGATGCCCTCGGCATCAAGGTCACATAAGATAAAAGCTGGAAATGAGAAGAAGCTTTTGGAGGAGATTGACACCCTGCCGTTCGAGATAGGACTATACCTTTGAGTATCATTGCAGAGTGTACAAAATTTTCTGCCGAGGATGGAGAGCTGTCAAGTAGCCTCCTCGGCATCTTCCTCTTCGGCACCAGTGGCAGTGTGCTCTCCCGGAGCGTCCTCCCCTTCATACTCATCTATCATTTCTTCCGTGATACCTTCGGGAAGGGGAGGGGGATCGGCAATAAAGTTCAAATTCAGCTTCGTCCCAGGGTTGTACCGCTTAAAACGGTAGATCAGATCCACCATCTCCGAGCCCACCTCCTTGTCGAGCAAAGTGGAGAAATCGGAAGAATGACGGTACTTCCGGATAGCCTCCTGGACGGCAGCCTCGATCTCCGAAGCCTTGGCCCGCTCCGACTCTTCCAAAGCCACCTGGACCGCCTACTTCGCCTCCAGAGCCTCTTTTGCCGATAGTTGCGCCGACTCCAGGGCTGCCAACAGATCGGTGAACTTAGACTTGTGCTTTCACATTATCGATAGAATAGCTCTTTGTCACTAACTTTGGCATCGGAGGGTCTTCGGTCGGTGCCACAACGATGTCTTAGACTTCACCTGTTGTTTCTTTCTCTAAGCCGAATCTAGCATCACGCCTCGAGGGAAGACACCATGGACCGAACGGCATCTACCGTGTCTGCACCTTACACAACGGGAGACAAGCAAAGGGACGAATTTCAAGGTCGGCAGGACGGAGGCAAATGCAATAAGGAGACAAGTGGCCGAGTCGATTTCCGAAGCCCAAAAAGGGCCCGACCAGAGGAAGTCTTTACCTCGCTCAACTCGACTTAAGAACATGTCCTCATGGCCAAAAATCAGATAATTCCGAGGCCAAACAACCGGAAGCTCCCTCGACAGGTCGATAAAGATACCGGAGTGTTCTGCCGATACCCCAAATACAATGGCCATGATATCGAATAGTGCATCGCCCTATGAAAAATTGTTGAATGGCTAATCAGTGAAGGCAAACTAAACTAGTATCTAAATGCATATCTGGCCCCTGAACAGCTGGGCAATCGGCAGATCAACATGATCAGCAGCGGTACACCGATTGCTGATTCTAGCAATCGGCCCGTCAAAAATTAAGTGCGTGCTGTTCGGCACCCTCGGATCCTCAGCGTCGCTGAAGGGCGCAACAACAAAATCTGGCGAATCGGATGGGAACCCATCACCTTTTCCGAGGAATAAGAGAAGGGCATCATTTTCCCCCACTCCGATCCCATGATCATTCGGGCAGACATTGCCGATTTTGACGTAGGCGGAATCCTCATCGACACCGGAAGTTCAGTCAACGTACTCTTTACCAATGCCTTCATATGCCTCGGAATCGAATGCCAAAGCCTTAACAAGGACATCACCCCCTTTCTAAGCTTCTCAAGCGATGTGGTAGAGCCAATCGGAAGCAT